CGGCCGCTGCCCCGGGCGGGGCGGCCTCTGTGAGGCGAGGGGCCCTGCGCTGCGCCTGGAGCAGCGGAGGGGCCGCTGTCACATCCCGGCTGGCATCTCGGGAGGAGCAAAGGAGAAGCCTCGCCGCCTGTCTTGGCTACGTGTGCTAATCCGGAGTTACTTCTTGGTTACTCCTCGCGGCCAGCGTACGCACAGATAAACCCCTGGGCTTTCATGTGGCACTGCCTAGGACAGCAATAGCAATTTTGTTTCAAGCTATCTCTTTTTGTTGCTCTAGATGCAATTATTTTAAAGCATGCAGGCACTTACCACTGGTGAGGTAAAATGTAACTTGTTATTTCTAGCTGTATTTCAGCTGGTCTGGAATTCAGCAGTATTACTCCATTTGTCATGGTCCAAATGTGGGGTGTGGACACCAAATAGGAAACCGAGAGACAGACTGAAAAAAGCTTGAAGGAACATGTTGAACTGCTATAATAGCAATTGTTTTTTTCCATTAGGCTTGAGTTTTATTTATTGACTGTATTACTGGTATCAAAAGTGTGATGAGGCATTTAATAAGTGTGGGAGAGTTTTGGTCCAAGGCAAGAGGTGCTACTCTGTAGAGCAGCAGTATTAACAAAGCTAAAAGACTTATTTTGAAACAGAATGCCTTCCCCTGTCACACAATATTGCATTTTTTGGTTTATCTCCAACAGTTCTCTGACACAGGCAGCAGAAAAGAACATGTTAAAATCACAAGTGAGTCCAAACCAGGGTTCCTGGAGAGGCTCAGCGAGACTTCCGGAGGCATGTTGGTGGGACTTGTGACATTTCTTCTGTCTTTCTACCTTCTTTTTACCAATGAAGTAAGTGAAATACTGTCAGTGTTTATACACAGCTTTAAAATGTCACAGCTGAGGTGACATGCAACTAGTTTTGCATTTATAGGCTTACTAAAATGATCATGTTAAAGCTTTATTACTTCATCCATGAGAAGAGGACGTTATGTCTGGAGAGTCTGGTGCTTGTACTTGGGATATAACAGAAGAGTAAAATTGCTGGGCCACAGATAGTCTTTCTGTAGAACTGAGTGTGGTAGAGACGGTGGCAGTGTGTGAAGAGAGATAAGATCCAAAACCTGTGAGCTGGTGCAAAAACAGGCTGTAGTATTATTGAAAGAAGGTTGTATGAGCCAGCCACGTTCCATTCTTCTCTCTTTTCTTGGGATAACGTAAGGTCCTCATTTCTGGTGGTGTTATAATCGCATTAAAGGAATTCACACCCCATGTTGCAAAATTGAGGGTGTTGATTATTTTCCGTGTTATTTTATGTCTTGGGTTTAGACTGAAAAAATAATCAAAGTAAGCAGGGAATCCTAATCCCCTACTACTGCAAACATACATGCTTTTGGCAGTTTTGGAGTGGAGCAGAATTCTGTGAATTTTCACCTAAGACTTCCTTTCACACCTCTACAAGAGGAAAGAGAACTACTCCCAATTTCAGTGACTTCACAGGAAAAAGCACACATGATGGTGTCGTGGTTTAACCCCAGCCAGCAACTAAGCACCACACAGCCATTCACTCCCTCCCCCGCAGTGGGATGGGGAAGAGAATCATAAAAGTAAAAGTGAGAAAACTCGTGGGTTGAGATAAAGACAGTTTAATAGGCAAAGTAAAAGCTGCGCGCACAAACAAAGTAAAAAAAGGGATTCATTCACTGCTTCCCATCAGCAAGCAGGTGTTCAGCCATCTCCAGGAAAGCAGGACTCCATCATGTGTAATGGTTACTTGGGAAGACAAAACACCATCACTCCAAACGTCCCCGCCTGCCGCCTTCTTCCCCCAGCTTTATATGCTGAGCATGATGCCATATGGTGTGGGATATCCCTTTGGTCAGTGGGGGTCAGCTCTCCCAGCTGTGTCCCCTCCCAACTTCTTGTGCACCCCCAGCGTACTTGCTGGTGGGGTGGGGTGAGGTGAGAAACAGAAAAGGCCTTGACTCTGTGTAAGCACTGCTCAGCAGTAACAAAAACATCCCTGAATTATCAACACTGTTTCCAGCACAAACCGGAAACATAGCCCCATAGTAGCTAATATGAAGAAAATTAACTCTACCCCAGCCAAAACCAGCGCAGATGGTAAGGAAAGGAAAAATTCTGCCAAGTAGTCATATGGGTCTGTGGAAAAAGGACCATAATTGGTATACTTTTTGCAGTTATTCGTGAACAATGAACAAGGTAAGAGGTGAAGAGCAATAACTTTGGAATAATCTATGTGTGTTTGAGGAGCTTAGTCAATGTTAATGGTCCTGCTGCATGGGTAAGAAGTACTGTGCCAAACTGTCAGACACAGAGAAGGAGAGAGTGGAGAAGTACAGGTGTGTTTCGAGAATACATCTTGAAGATGAGTACGCAAGCATTCCTTGCGGTCTTCAGATCACCTGTCTGCTGACCTTTTTCACAAAATACTGCTGTACCATTGATTCTCCACAATTTGATTTTGCTTTTCTTGATTGCAGGGACGAGCTTTAAGGACAGCCAAATCTCTTGATGAGGGACTTTCTCTTGTGATCCCTCTTGATAGCATCCACAGTGTGTCTCAGCAGAATGAAGGGAGATTGGTGCACTTAGCTGGCGCTCTGAGTACACCTAAGGTAAATAAAATAGTATCTTGAAGATATGAGTATTTCAAGCTTGGAGGGAAGGAAAAGTCTTTGCCCATTAAAATTATGTTTGATATCCAGGGAGAAGACATGTAGCTTCTCTCTTCCTGTGCAAGCATTGTCGGCTACCACCCAAGCTTTGGTTCTTGGCCCAGAACTGGGGAGATGCTGTACAGCCTTGGTCTCCCTGCTCAAAGCAACATGCTACCTCTAGCTGTGTTTACCCTCCCACTGCCTTTGGTGGATAATTTCAGTTCCCCTTTGCATAGGGAACCTGTTCATGATATTGTAAAGCCTTTAGGCTTTTGCAGTACAGAGGCTCTGCGAGTTCTGACTTTTCAGTAGTGATGACATTTTCCATGGTCAGTCTGCATTGCAGGAGATAGCACAGTAGCTTCCAGCAAAACAAAATCTCTCTCTGGTTTATACACTTAAGCCTACATACCACTAGCCAGCATTTCTGGTTTTATTCTTCACTATGGCAGTAATTTTTGATGATGATTCTTTAGGCCAGATTTATCAGTGATACAAAGAGATGCTTCTTTTTGTCTTTCATAACATTTATTCTATATTCAACTGTGTGTAACATAGTACTAACTAGGTACAGTGAGGTATGTAAATAGGTTTGATAATAAAAGTAGAGTGTTTGAGTTTGTGAGGTACAGCATTTATGCTGACTTGTATTTTCTTTAATTTTTAAATAGCCTCTGTTTGATCCCAGCTATGGGCTCTCCATCCAGGCTGTCAAACTTAAGCGTAATGTGGAAATGTACCAATGGGTAGAATATGAAGATTCCACGTAAGTGAAAGAAATCTTTAAATGTTGTTTATAAAGCTGTTGCATTAACAGGATCCCATCACGGTTTTTTTTTCTCTCCCCACCCTAAAGAAAAAAACCCTAAGTCTTTACAGCAGGAGAATTCTAGAGCTTTTGGGTTTTTTTAGAGAGTCACTTACATTTCCTTGGACATGTAAGGTCTTGTAGATAGTCAGTGCTGCAGAATTTGCATCTGATAAAATCTGGGTAACATCCAAGGCCTTTTATCAAATGTTTCCACTTCCTGGTTTTGTATAACTTCATACGGGGTTTCTTGGCCTCCATGCTGCAGCTGTGTTTTTTTTGTTTTCATTGCTGTTGTCTGATGCCAGGGCATCTCAGAGCCCATTGATCTATTTTCTGTCATATGTGTTGTCAACAGAATTCAAAGATCTTTACCAATTTATGGGGGGGAAAAAAAAAAAAAAGAGAGAAAACACTCATGTTTTTCCCAAAGACTCAGTTGATTTCTCTCCTTTCTAATGTTCCTAAAGCTTCTTTTATTTATTGATGTACTTTCTGCCCAACAGGATTTCTGTAACTCCACCTCCATAATGCTCCCTGCCTGCTAGTTGATTAGCAGAATCGAAACCATTGTCCTAAAATACTCGATCCTGATTTTTTTCAAACAAAACATTATAACCCACTTTTTCACTGCATCTGCTAAGCCTTTCCTGCTGCCATTCTCTAAAACTTGATCATGGACTGTCAAGCCAATTTTTTTCCCTGTCCTCAAAAAAGAAATACAAAAGGATTTTTGCTGAATCCAAAAACTTCATGATATTTTCCTTTGGCTTTCTTCCTTTCTTCCACAATGACGATGATTTACTTGTTGGGTTTTTTTGGGTTTGTCAGTTGTTTTTGTTTTTTCAAATCTCCCAAAGGGGTCTTAACTTTTGTTAGAAAAGTAGGTGAACCCAACAATTTCAATTATGAATTCCAGAATAAACTCTGATAAACCCATTGACCCAAAAACCACCTGGTTGATACCTACCACCTAACATACACTAGAATATGTCAAAGCAATTAAAAAACCCTATTGTGTCCAGTTGAATCTAGAAGTCAGATTCTTTTCCACACTTGTGGACACTTGAGACGTTTTTGGCATGTGACTATGAGGGAAATCTCTTAATTTCTTTGGTATTTCATACATGTGCAAATTGAAGTACTTAATGAAACCAAGGCATGATTTCTTGATTTTTAGAAGTCTCTGCTACCCCATACCGTTAATAATAAAAAGCCAACGTTAATTTCTAGCTGTGAAAGTAAACTGCAAATTTTAGTTGCTTGAGAGATACTCACATTAGTTTATAATAGGCAATATTGCGGTCTAGGTACCTTTTCAAGGGGATTTACAAAACTGTAATGAGATGTTAGCTACTCTGCTAATAGTTGCAAGCAGAACGGGAAAAATGTTTCTGTTAATAATAATTCCATTGACAGTAGTATAAAAGTTGTTAGCTATTACGTAGGTCTGACTCCACAGAACTTACATGCCAAATGTCTTCTGTGTCATACAAAAAAAGTCAGAGATTATGAAGGTGTGAAAAATAACTTCTCAGTTTTAACATGGTTATGGTGCAGCATCTGTAAAAGACTTGTTGATTTAGGTCAGCTTGTCTCATTGTCTTTACTCCTGGTTGTTCCACATCAATCTAGTCAACTCCTTGTTGGCAACATGGGAATAAAAGTGTTGTGGCTGTTTAGCATTTGTGTATAGTTTTCTCCTTGTACAGAGAATCTATGTCTTCAGAATAGGTAGTTCAGAGAAGAGTTAGTTTACTTGTAAAGATAAGTTTGTGTTGCCAGTGAGCTGTCTCGCATTTCATTTGTAAAGTGTATTCTGCCCTGAGCAGGGGTGTGTGTGCACTGTTTTGGTTCTCATCCCACCCTTTTCTCTGCAGGGAATATGAAGAGAATGGTGAGATTAAGAAAGAGACAAAATACTCATACAGTAAGTTGATCAACAGAAAGTCCCTTTTCTTTTATGCATGTAACTTTGGACTTTTATGTGTGTGTATTTTGATTTTTGTTGTAAAGAAAGGAATGTGAAGAAATAAGCAAAAATTCTGTTTACTAAACAAATGGCAGATCTCCCTTTCTTGAGGTAACTGAGGTGAAAGAAGGTGCGCTGTTAGCAAGCAACTACTACAGAAAGTCTTGTCTTGGAACTCCTAGAGGTTCAGAGCAGCATCCAGGGATAGGATGCTTCAGAAGTAGAACCTGTAAGGTCCTCAGTGACAGGAGATGTGCAGAGATGGGAGTGTATGCAAAGCTATGCCTGAGATTCCTCTTCAGAAGTGGAGTAATTGGGCATGTGTCAGGCATGAGCAGGAGAGTAAATAGACAGGGAAGATCAGTGTAGCTCCAGCCTGTAAGACAGCCTGTTGAGAGTCCATTTAGGTGTTGGTATCAGCTAACGAAAACCATTGGCACCTTCTGATGTGCGCTGTGGCTTTTGCCAAATGCTTTTTTGGCAGGAGCAGAGCTGAGAGCATTATTCTGATCTACCCTGTGGCAGAAAAATACTCTGAGTCATCATATATCTGGAGATTTGTCTCTGTGCTTCATTTATCTCTGATTAAAGCACATGGATGTGTAACGTGGGTGTGCAGCGGTTTCTGGGTGTGATCATAAAAATACCCCAGCTCAGTGAAGCATGGGACCCTACAGCATGGAGGTACATATGGAGCAAAGCTAGTGGTTGTGTGCTGTGAAAAACAGCCTTACAGTGGCAGGGAACAAAAAGAAATGCCATTTAAAAAAACAACTGCCCTCTCAAGATTAGTGGATTCTGTCCAGTAAAAGTCTGTACATTACAGACGTGGTGGGTTAGCTTTGGCTGGCAGCCAAGGACCCACACGGCCTCTTGCTTATTCTCCCCCTCAGCAGGACTGGGAAGGGATTGGGAAGAACAGGAATGAGAGAGTTTGTGGGTTGAAATACAGGTACAGAGATTGCTTACCAATTTCACCATCATGGGCAAAACAGACTCAACTTGGGGAAAATTAATTTATTGGCAATTAAAATAAATATTTAATTACTGATTTGGATGTTGGGCAAACACATTTGCTCTCACCCTTTCCCAGGCTCAACTTCACTCCAGACTCCTCTCCTCTTGCGCCTCCCCCCCACCTTGTTACTGCCACAGGCTACACGCGCTCCCTTTAGTGAAGCAGTGAGCAGTGCAGGGGGTGGGGGTAGGTTTACAGTCAGTATGTAGTGGTTTCTACCCTCTTTCCTTGTTACACTTTTCCCATGCTCCAGCATGGATTCTCCTCATGCTGCAGTGAATATCTGCTCTGCTGTGGAGCACCTCCTCCTCTGACTTTGGTGTTTCCTCTGTTGTTTCTCACTCCTTTTTTTTCCCTCCCTTCCCCATTTGGTGTTTTCTGCCCTTTCTTAAAAATGTTTTTCAGAAGTGCCCTGAACTTCACTGATGGGCTCAGCTGTGGCCTGCAGTGGGTTGGATGTGGAGCCAGCTGCATCCAACGCAGGGCAGCCCCTGACCTCTTCCCACAGAGGCCGTCCCTGCAGCCCCCCGCACTACCAAAATTTTGCTACATACCCAATACACCAGAATATCCCTTACAATGCTCCCTACTCCACTGTTTAACCAAACTCCCTTTCCTTCCTCTCTACTCCTTCATGGAAGTAGAGCAAGCTATATTTAATATGGAAGCTGCTCAAAAAAGGGACTCTAGTTTTGTAGGAGTTACAAGAAACCTGCTGGAATCTGTTCTGGGGATGGGGGAAGGCTGCTGTGGCCTGTACGAAGGCAGCATTATGCATTTTTGACAGTGGCACATACAGGTACCATCTCTATCTGTTGCTTGACTGCACTGAAATTTGCTAGTTCCAGCAGAGATCACAGCCTTTCCTCACAAAACCTGGTTATTCACAAAGAGTGGAGCTAGAAATCAAACCCAACAGCCAAGCTCCCACTGAGTGAAGTTCAGTTACAGTTTTATTGCTAAAATCCTTTTTTTCTGACTCCTGCCATTCCTTGTTAATATGCTAGAAAGATGGATTTAAGTATCAGTACAGACTATCACATACATGCTTTGATGTAAACTTTATTACTGCAAGTGCAACTACTTAGAACTGATTCATTGACTGAAAGGTGTCTTCAATAACTAAGATCTGAGTGGCAATTTTTCCTGTTTTCTCTTCAATCTTTCTATCTTTTTCTTTAGATACTGAATGGAAGTCGGAAGTTGTGAACAGCAGAAACTTTGATCGAGAAATTGGACACAAAAACCCTAGGTAATTTACCACCTAGCACAGTCCCTCTAGATTCTGTCACTGTATCTGATCAAAGATGGAAGCTTTTCATGGTTTAACCCCAGCCAGCAGCTAAGCACCACGCAGCTGCTTGCTCACCCTCCCCCCCGCAGCTGGGATGGAGGAGAGAACTGGAAGGGCAAAAGTAAGAAAATTCATGGGTTTGAGATAAGAACAGTTTAATAATTGAAATAAAATAATAATAAAATGGTGAAAGGAAAACAACAAAAAGAGGAACAAAACCCAGGAAAAACAAGTGATGCAACTGCTCACCATCTGCCAACTAACGCCCAGCCAGTCCCCGAGCAGCAATCGCTGCCCCCCGGCCAACTCCCCCCAGTTTATATACTGACCATGACATCGTATGGTATGGGATAGCCCTTTGGCCAGCTTGGATCAACTGTCCTGGCTGTGCCCCATCCCAGCTTCTTGTGCACCTGGCAGAGCATGGGAAGCTGAAAAAGTCCTTGACTAGTGTCAGCACTACTTAGCAACAATAAAACATCAGTGTGTTACCAACATTATTCTCATACTACATCCAAAACACAGCACTATGCCAGCTACTAGGAAGAAAATTAACTCTATCCCAGCCAAAACCAGGACAAACCTAAATGACTAATCTTCATGACACAGTGAACTAGATGGAAACTGTTGGTCTTTTGGTAGCTGGGAGAACTAAGGCATAGAGAGATTAGAGAGCAGTTCAAAGCTGCCTGGTGGAACCATAATTAAGCTATCCGTTAGTAATGGCTGGACATCAGGCTATTATTATATTACCTCTGAACCATGTGGTCTCCATGTAGGAGAATTTGAATGGGTTCCTTTCTGACTTTTATCATCTGTTAGTGCAGTCTATCACTAATTCTTTCCTCTATTACAAGTACAGGGTTAGAATAGCAGGCCTCCCATGAGCTTGTCATGCCACTTGCATGCTGCTTTTTCTAAGATAGCATGCATGAGCTCACAGGTTTATTTGTGGCAATCGCCCATGTACAAGTTGTTTCACATATCTCTCATCTGCAGCATTTTAGTTACACTACAATGCGCCATTTTTAATGTTAAGTTTTAGCGTGCTTGTCATTCTCACAGCACCTGCTTGGTTCCTTAGGATGCAGGATGCCGTCTGGCAAACAACATCATGTGTGAGTGAAAAATACAGCTGGAGATATAATAGGACCAGGATTTCAACAAAATCTTTGAACTTTGCAAAATCTCCAGAACTTTGTTTTGGTTCTGTGGGATCATCCAAATACACTGTCCCTTATTTTGAAGTACTACTTCCGGAGGGAAAGCAAAGATCTATGTGGCTTTGATTATAAGTCCCAACTAGCAGACTTGTATAGATGAGAGATAATGGAATAAAAAGGATGTACAGATGACATACCTGCTTTGTCTGTCCTCCCCATGTACACTTTTTTGTTAATGAAAGTTCTCCAAGCATTCCCCAGTAAATGCAAATCTCCAATTGAGAGTAAGAAACATTTTTGATTTAGTGCTATTGCAGTACATAATTTAACAAGTGCTGCAGCTATGAACGTTTCATCTGAGTGTATTGGTACAAATCAAGGAGACTGAGCGTAACTGTGGTGGGTCCTTGCGTGAGACAGTACAGTGTACGCAGACATGTTGAACTTTAGAATTCATGCCTAGCATTAATGAAACTCTATTTTAAGTGTGTGCTACATCATCTTCCTTCTGTCCATCCATCTTTTTATGCAACTTAGACATTTGTGAAAATAAAACCTGTTGTTTACTGCCAAGGAGATTCTAGTAGTACTACTTATGAGAATCAAGTCATGTCTGTAAGTAAAGGATTCCTGAGTTCGGAATTTAATTAACTTGGCCATGATGTAGAAGTTCCTTTGTATAGAGAAGGCTTATGATCTAGGTTTCTTAATTTAGCAGGTGAGATCTAGCAGTTGACAGCGGAAGCTAAATAAATTCAGGCTAGAAATAAAGTGCAACTATGAGTGTAGTTAAATGTTGCAGGAACTAATCTAGGAACATGATGAATTCATTGTCACTCAAAGCCTCTATATCGCCACTGAACAGCTTCCTAAAAGCTGAACTCCATTTCAGCCCTTTATATGTTCAGTACAGAAAAAACTAATGAAATCCTAGAGTGTGTATGGAAGGTCAGGCCAGGGGATGAGACAGTCATATCTTGTCTTAACTTATTTTAATGGCTCTAACACTATGAAGTCTGGACACAGTTTCTTGATGGATTTGTTTTCACATCACGACAAGCCATTTAGCTCCTTGAGTTTCTCCTGATGTTTGACATAAGTACCTTTTGTGTGCTGTATATTACATACTGCAAATCAAGAGTTTGATCATAATTCTGGGACTAATCAGCGACTTTCTCTGTTCCTCAGTGCCATGGCTGTGGAGTCTTTCACTGCTGTTTCTCCTAATGTCCAAGTTGGCAGCTTTGTTCTTTCCAAGGGTAAGAATTGCTTTGTATCAGCTTTGTGTCTGCTGTTGCATCAGCAGTGGACTTTGGTTCTTTCCACAATGGCAGTCATTTCAAGTGATAATGAGGAAGCCAGCCAGCAAATTGGCTGTTCCAAGTTAGACACCGGACCTGAGCTTGTTTCTTTATTCTGCTTAGGTCTTGTGGATAAAATTGATAACTTCAAGCAGCTGAGCTTGTCACACCTTGAGGATCCACATGCTGATGTTACCCGAGGAGGAGATTACTTTTACCACAGTGAGAACCCCAGGCATCCAGAAGTAAGATGAGAAAGACAAACCAAAGCAGTGATTACTGTTATGTGAAAAAGAAAGTTGGGGCCTGTCCCATTTCTATTTAAATATGGAGAAACTGGAGTGCAGACCATCACATAGGATGACACCCTTAGTACAGTCCTTCAGCATGAGTGCTTCTCTTGCAGGAAGCTTCTGATCCTGCTTCTTTGTCTCCTGTTTTCTTGAGTCTGCCATGCTTTTAAATGGAAAGACACAGGATGGTGCTGGGAGCTGGGTTCTACCTCTGCCTTGCTGTATTGAACGGAGTACAATGAAATAGCTTGTTGTCAGCTTGTCCTGCCTGCCCTCCTCTGCCAAAAGATGAAATGACAAGGGATGAACATAGGATCTCATTGGTGTTAATGTGTTCCTGCAGCTAAATAGAGCGGGTATTGCAAAACAGCATTTGAGCTATCCTGTTTCAGCTATCAACTAGGCATGAAAAAAGTACAGCTTGGAAATCATTCTGGGTATCCTCTGGCTTGACATAAACGTTCAGAAAAAGTGTTGATAAATAAAGGGTGTTGCCATGCAGAGTTGTCTTTCCTGTGATTCTCCTTTGTAAAGAAATCTTTCTTGACTTCCAATATTCTCTTGTTTGTAGGTAGGAGACCTGCGTGTCTCATTCTTCTATGCAGGTCTGAGTGGAGATGACCCCTATTTGGGTTTTGCTGATAAGGTGAGTCTTCAGCTATTTCTGTATTTTGGAAACTGTTCCCAACTCAGTAACCAGTAAATATTTTTCCCATTCTTCTAAGGTGACTGTGATTGCTCGCCAGCAAGGCGATCAGCTGGTTCCGTATCATACCAAGTCTGGAGATGTCCTGAAGATTCTGTATGCTGGGGATCTCTCTGTGGAGGTGAGATACCGCACTGTACTAGAGAAGGGTTAAAATTGGAGATGCTAGTGCAGAAGCAGCAGCGGAGTAAGCTCTCATTCTCCTTCAGACCTGCTCTAGGGGACGAGATGCTTGATGCAAACATTGGCTTTTCTCTCTCCTTTTTCAAGGACAATGTGTTTGCCTTCCAGGTTTCTGCACATTCTTTGTGTTGCGGCAAAATGCCGTGCTTCGCCCACTAGCAATACATAGAATCATAGAATCGTTTAGGTTGGAAAAGACCTTTAAGATCATCCAGTCCAACCATTAACCTACACTACCAAGTCCACACTAAACCAATCATAATTTGGCTATAGTTATACCTGATGGCTTTTTTTAATTTTAAAAAGGAACTGTGGCTAAAGTGGCTATATATTTATTTTTTTAAAATCCCCTGGTGTTGCTGCTGAACATCCTTTGCTTTAAAGGCTGTTTCTGTACCTTCTCATTTTGCTTTTATTTGCTCTTTGGTAGTTTCCCACTTACACGTGCAAGCACGCACTTTTGAAAAGGTTGTATATAAAAACAGTAAAAATCAGGCTTTAATTAAACAAACTGTAGGAGCTATCCTCTCTTTAGCTTCTAGTAACGAGAGTTTAGACTTGTTTGAAATGCTTATTGCTATTCTGGCTGAGAAAGAACCTTCAGGCGGAGCATAATGCTCCAATAAATCCTGCATGCTCCAGCAATTTGGTGATTCATTTACTCCTTTTAGTAGGTTTGTTTCCATTAAGGATTGTTTCATGCCCTGATGCAAAAATCCCAGATGTCAAGAATTTACAGGAGCTCCCAAAAGCAGTTACAAAGGCTTTTGTTTTGAGTTGAGAGTAGCAGTAGAAGCAGTTCTCTGCTGTGAGCTCCGAACCTTCATTAGACAGAATTTTAGTTCAATGGAAATTAACTCACTACAAATGAATAATTTGTAGAGTACTTGTGTGTACAAGAAGTCAATCAGTCATACACGTCTTTTCCCATTAAGTGCTTTATTATGTCTTAGCCATCTCTATGTGTACGTTTTATAGAGCCAGAGGGGCGCACAACCCATTTTGAAAAAATCTTACTCGGAATTCTTGCAAATAGATGCTTTGCTTTGCCTGATGCAATATACACATACCTTTTATTTTTTCTTCCCTGCATACTGCTTGCTTTCTTTCATATACCTGTCCTTCAGCCATCAGTGGATGTTGTTGCCTTTTCTCTCTTCCTCCAAACACAGTGAAGTCAGGTCGTTCCTCCTTATTACGTTTACTTACTAGTGTCTTATTTCCCACAGTAATGAATGTATCCATTTGCAGCAAAAACTGTGTGCTTTCTGCTCTGTGGTTATAGTGTGTCGAATGGTCCTTGTTTAGCTGTCTTGATTTAAAAAAATGCTGGTTTCCCTTGTGCTGCACTTTGAAATCTGTTGTAGTGTGCAGCAATAGTGTGCAAAAAGACCCTTCAGAATGAGCTGCAACGTATCTTCTACAAGAGGATTTGTACTCCTACAATGCTGTTGGCTCTGATTTGCTCATAATACACTGGAATCAAGAGGATCTCAAAAGCAACTGAGAAACAGGCTGCATATAATGGTGTTTGCTTTCAGGAAGTGTTTCAGAAAGAGCATGAGAGTAACACCATGAAGACCTGGGCCCTCCGTGCAGCAGGCTGGCTGGCAATGTTTGTAGGCATCAGCCTAATGACCCGAATCTTTCACACTTTGGGTAAGTTTTTTACAGAAAGGTAAAATTATATAGAAATAGGATCATAATCCCAAGAGAGGTCCTCTCTTGCTCACATATACAATTAATTAATTTGAGGGTCAGGAGGAAGCTGGTTTGAACTCGGAGTGGATTTGATCTGAAAGCCACCGTAGGCAATTGCAGGTAAACAGGATCCCAGAACCAGATGGTTGCTTTGTGAACATTAAAAAAAAAAAAAGCAAGTATCTGTTGCCAGTCTCAGAAGATCCCAGCCCAGTGCTTGCCAAAATCAGATGCCAAAGCACACGTTGGGCTGGTTCTTTCAAGTCTAACTGCTGCAATCCAGTTACTTTCTACACCCATACACAGGTGGTCCCCCCAACAGGTCTTAATTAGTAGTTGTATAGTAACATGTGTTTGTGTCTGGTTATTCTACACTACTGTGAACACACAGCAAAAAAGTTTTTCATTTATCCTTTTAGCACAGGAAAATGTTGGAATAAAAACTTAGAGAAAAGCAGGACAGTGCCTCCAACTTGTATAAACGTCAAACATCAAAGCTATCATTTGCATTGTAGCAGTGCGCTCTCTTTTTTGTTTTCCTTATTTACTTATCCATATACACGCTATTGCAAGATTTATTGCCAGAAATTAATTTTTGTGCTAGCATATTGTATCAGCTGCCCTAGACTTGTTCCGTAGCTGCAAGGCTATCAGTCTACTCTGCCTCTCAAGCCTTGGACAAGACTTCAGTCTTAATTTTGGATTACTTCCTGTCTGAAGAGATGAGGATACCATTGGTTTAGATGTTTAGCTGTTGCTTAAACATCAAATGCCTTGAGGATACTCAGCTGAAATGCGTTATCCAGTGCTCTTGATAAATAATTTGAGTCTGTCTTTTGATTGCAATAGTTAGTGTGCAAATCCTAGGCATGAATAAGACTTCCCTTTAAACTATCATATTGTCAACTGCTTTATCCCTTGTTTAATTTTTTCTGCAGTGGACTGGTTTCCTGTTGTGAGAGATCTGGTTAACATTGGACTAAAAGCATTTGCCTTCTGCGTAGCCACTTCGTTGTCGCTCCTGACCATCTCCATTGGCTGGCTCTTCTACCGCCCTCTCTGGGCTTTGCTGATCGGATTGCTCTCTGTAGTTCCAATTGTGGTTGCGAAATCTCGTGTTCCACCAAAGAAGCAGCAGTGAGGAGGAGGTGGTCAGGTTTGGCGCCGAATTCTGGTTAGAAACCTTTCAAGTGCATTTCTGTCCCAGTTACTGCAGCATGCTTACAGCATATCACAGTTCAGCAGTGTGCACCAAGAGTTGGGGAGGGAGCTTGAATGTGGTTGTTGATACACGTTATCCATGAAAAATATGACTATAGGATGCTGTTTGTAGGAAGTCAATGACCTTGACTTTGGGGAAAAAAGCATTTTGGAGTGTCTGTATTGATTGTAAGTCAGTGAACAAGCAGATTGGTACCTCTTACCACTTACTAATTCCCCTGATTTGAGAACTGGCAATCCTCACTGACAGCTGGGGCACCTTGTGTGTCATGGAGCAAGGGCCGTCTTTATCACATGGACCGTGATTAGATATCCTTAGGAAATAGGTGTGTGTACCTGTCTCTGATGAACCTTCCCTCTGCTGCCTTTTCTTATATGCACAGTCACGTACACTTTTTTGGCTGAGGCATTTGGAAGTGTATGTGTTCAAAGGAAAAACACAGCCGAGTCAAATGTCACACAATACTTAGGTAAAATATATGCTTTTGGACTGAGGATTTTCAAAGTAACTTGAAATAATGAGTGGCCTGGTTAGCAGTGTTCTGAGGTAGGGTGAATTTGTCAGAAAGCATTCATTTCCCCCAGCTTTTTAAAAGTCTCTGAAGTTGTTCTTGGTTAAACATCCAAAATGGTAGTGTGGACTATACCATTGCGTAACTATTTCAAAAATTTAACTTTGAATTGCATTTAAGGGGATACTCGGAGGTCACTAACCTTTAAAAATAAAACCTGCTGCCTTGAAACAAAATTATCTTTTATAAAATTGAATGTATATTCTTTAAAATATTTGGGGTTTTTTTGCTGTGTATACTATTTCTTTCTTGAATTTCACTTAGTAAGGACAACGAACATACTCCATGAAATTAAATAATGAAAACATTTTTGCCTGATTAGATTTCCTGGACTTTAGTAGCCTAAATTTTGAGCTTCATATCATGTTTGAGGAATGCCTTCTTGTAGTGTTGTGATGGCTCATGTTTACATATTTCTGCTGTAACCAGTACTTGAGATGAGAGAGTATCTTGTAGTGTTTTTAAGTCTCTCTCCACACAGCTAGAGTCTGGCTTGCAGGTGTGCCCTCCCTACACTACAGTGTTTCTTTTTCTGTAAGTATACACAATTCTGTACAAAAATAATGTCTTCATTTATGAAATCCAGTTATGACTGTCAGAAGAAATGTGTTCCCCATACCAAAGAAACTTCAACTTGAACATACATAGAAGCAAATGTTTGCTACAACTGGTACTGAAATAGAGATCTGAGTTACAAATCATAAATGTTTTGAGAAGTAGTAATTACTTTATTAGCCTTAATTCTTTTCCTTCTTCTGGTATTTGAATGTTGTCAATTCAGCCTCGTGGCTCTGTTCCTCTGGTAAGAGCAGTAGTAGTGAGTGAAAGGTTATAGGAAGTGCAGGTGGGCTCATGCATGCAGCTGACTGCTGTGGGCTAACAGCCAACTCCTGCTCCATCAATTAAGAACTGCACTCCACTGGGGAGAAAAACAAGTGTTGGACTGCTGTTTTACCAATGATGCAGGAAACTAACCAGCATTACCATGTTAGAGATGAAGATACCATTTTCTACAGAACTGCTGAGCTTTTGTGTATTTAATAAAATACAATTTTCAAAAGGTTGGTCTGTAGGCTTCTTTTTTATTACATTTAAGTATTGCACATTTCAGGTCCAGGAATAGTGTCCAGGTACATCAGGATTAGTTTGTAGCTTCCACGTGAGCTAGTTTTCTATCGTTGGTTGAGATAAATGTGCAGTTGTGTTTTGTTTAGCCTGCAACTATTTCACCATTTTGGGCAGCAAGTTCCTATAACAGCACAGCTGCTATCTGGCCCATATACTTCTATGTATGTGATGAAAAACCCTGGTTTTACTCCCCATTACTGACTACCTATGTAACTTCCTTGCCTCCGTAAGATTATTTGAAAAAATATAATGGTTCAATGTGACTGGATACAGCCTCTTGTATTTTTAAAGAGACTGGGGGTTTACCTATGCATTCAGCAGCTTAAAATGTGTGCACAGGAATGACACAAAATAGAGAGACTCCTTTCACAGACAAGAGCCTGCTTCCCAGGCCAGGCGTGCTGGAGGAGCAAAGGCTCGCTTTCATTGCACGTACACAAACGACGTTTCTATAGAAACAACTGAAGCAGTATTTCTCTTGCTTCCTTACCAAAATCTGGCAGAACATGTACCCGATCTGTCCATCATCTTCCCTTTCTGTTTCGGTCTCCCTTAAAGCACACTTACTCTTTCATCTTTTGCATGCTTGGGTTAGGAGAGCCAGGTGCCTGCATAGCTGAGAAGTAGGATCCTGCCACCCAAAGATGTTACTGTCTCTTTCCCTGCTGACTATAAATAGTCCCTAGACTCGTAACTTCCGTGTATCTGTGCTGAGTGTCCCAAGTTAGGAAGTATGGAGTTGCCTCAGTACAGCTGGTACCAGCTTCCATTTTAAGCAGATGAAAAATTACAGATGCCACCAGGAGCTGGACGTGGGCCCTCGCATTCAAAGTACTCATCTCGGGGTGTATCCTGCCTATCAGCACAACGACTAACATGGAAGGAACTACATTCTCTGTGCCCTCTGCAGTTTTACCAGTTCATGCAAGATTTAGAATTTTTCTTGAAGCCTTATATAAAGGTCATATCTACTCCCCAAGCCTCCAACTTAGGTTGGTCTCTACTTATTTAGAATTTGGTAGCAAAAACTAAACATTCAGAATGAAGATCCTTAATATTCAAACAGTTCAGAAGCAGCCAGCTCTGGGATATCCTGGCACCCGACTTGGGACTTCTGGAAATACCATGGCATGTTCTTATCCTTGCACGAGAGTCCTTCCAGGGAAATAGAGCTGCTTACAGAGGAATGAGCTGGCCAGAGGGGAAGTGTAACGGACAACATACTCTTTTTCTGTACTTTATTTTGTTCTACAAATACAGTACAAAAATAGATTTTTTTCTGAACATAATTAAACGCAAGCCATTTTCTTGCATTTCAATCTTTCCTCTGTGACCATGTCCACTAATGACTAGACTGTAGTCTCCTCTATTTTTAAAGAGAGAGTGTCAGTGTAATTTAATTATAAAAATACTGCAAAAAGACAGATCAGCATTTCTATTACAAAACTGCAGGAAAAGCTTGTATAGATTTAACATTCCTCTCTTAACAGTTTTTACATGCGTAGGTACTGGGTAACATTTACAAGAGCTCTCTGGTTTCACTGAATTTTGTTTCTGACGATGACACTCAGCCAGTTTTACATGCTTTGCTCCAGAACATATCCACACGGTCTTGATAAAACAAAACTGAAACAAGTATGTATATATTCAAACTAATTAAGAAGACATATTTAACCTTAAGTTTGAAATGAGGACAGGGCTTCTCCCTTCTAATGCACAACATTTCTGAAAGTAAAGGAAGATTGTAGGCTGAAAAGCCAAAACTGAGTTTTCAAAAAAGGCAGGTATTCTTTAGACAGTAAATTTTCAGATTCCTCCAAATCTTGATTGCATGCTTTTTTTGCACCTTAGAGGAAGTATTTCCCCTTCTGCGATGATAAGACAGTAAGACCAGAACTCTACCTCACCACTGATGTGGATAAGGTATGAATCAAAGAGGGCGTTAGTAGTCTTTTGGCCAGCTCACCACAGATGGTTAAATAGCAGCTGCATGCTTTAGTTCTGAGCAAGCAGGAAAAAACGGAAAGGAGAAAAATGGTAAAAGACGGTGCTAATGAAAGGAATGCCTCAGAAAACAGAATTATGAGCGCTGAGTGACACAGAAGAGAGCAAAAAACCCCAACAGCACAAAGTGATCTTCTCAGAAGGTACAACTGTACATCTGCTTCTCCTAAGTCCAAGGATAAAATGATGAACCCTAATTACCTGTGATAGCAAAAGAAACTCTTGATACTGAATTAGGGTGGTCCCTGATAGCTCAGAAACAAGTGCACAGGAAGACTAAGTCCTTAACTGGCAAAGGATACTTCTATGACTCTTCTTGCATCTGGAAATGGCAAAGAAATGCTTGTCCTGATCACAGTTTCTCAAAAGGGAACAACTGTGCTGCTTCTCCTTTCTTTTCTCGCTTGCTCTTTCTGGTTGTCTTCTCTTCTTTTTTCTCGAACTGGCGATTTTGGGGCCAACAAATAGCTGCATTCTCTACTGCAGTCTCTGAACTTGGACCTCCTTCTTCATCAGAAGAGAATCCTGCTCCTTTCTCTGTCTCAGGTGCTGACAGCTCAGTCTGGAAAAAACAGGTGTGAAAACCAGAAAGTTGCTCTAGGAATCACTCGTAACTACCCCTTTCTAAAAGGGCTTGTCTTCGATCACAGCGACACTTAATGACATTACAGAAGTTGCCTGCTCTGGTTTGGGCTTCTCACCCAAAGCAGTGTGTTTCTACTCCTGGCTATCAAGCACTCTTTCAACACAAGAAAAATACGTTTGGCTGCGGAAGAATAAAAATAAACCTGCTTTAAAAAGATCATGCTTTTCACCTTTCTCAATGGGGAAAAGATTAAGAACTGAAACATCTGACTTCGTAACAAAAAGCAGCCCCTCTCATCCTGTTAGCTACTTGCTGGCTTGGAGGCATAAATCTAGGAAGGTGGTATGTCAAAACAGAAAATAACACCAAAAAAATGATGCTACGGGAAACTAATCTCTTGTTAAATAATAATGAATCTTTCAGGGACATGACCACATTCAATTTCTGGTGTAGTTTTTTTTACTAGTTGCTAGTCACATGCTAACAACAGGAAAGAAAAAGATTTTTGACCAACTACACTCTGGGAGTTCTACATTCTACAGCTGGAAATAGGACACATTGGAAAGACTGGGAAAAAACTCACTCAGTAGAGAAATATCATCCTGAAAAGAAATCACTAATAGAAATGCAGAATACCTTGATGGAGTAGCGTTGCTTCAGTCTCTCTCTGATGAGAAGTCCTTTAGTCAGCAGCTTCCAGTTCCCCAGAGCTCTTTTCTCACGCTTCTGTGGGGGATTGTTATT